TGTGGGATCCGAACCCGGGGCGGGAGCGCCGCCACACTCCCAAGCGGCGCACTGTAGCAGTGCGCCACTGGGCCAGCCCTGTAAATGGTATTTTTAAATTGCATTTTCTGGGCTGGCCAGTTAGCTCAGTTGGTTACAGTGCAGCCTTATAACCTCAAGATCACGTGTTTGGATCCCTGTACAGGCCTGCCACAAAACAAATACATAAATAAATTGCATTTTCCAATTATTCATAGCTAGTATATGTAAGTATAACTGATTTTTGTATTTTGACCTTGTATCAGCTTTTCTTTGTCAGTCATTTGTTAATTTTTTTCATTTTTAAAGACCTTTTTTGCTGGATATAGAATTCTTAGTTTACAGGCTTTTTCTTTTAGAAGTTTAGAGACATTATTCCATTATCTTCTATCATCTATTACATCCAATGTGAAGTAATATAAAATTCTTACAGATGTTCTCCTGAATGTAATGTGTTCTTTTTCTCTGGCTGCTTTTGAGATTTATCTTTGGGGCGGGCTGGTTAGCTCACTCAGTAGGGTGTGGTGCCGATAATACCCAGGTCAAGGGTTTGGATCCTTGTACCAGCCAGTCACCAGAATAAGAAAAGATTTATCTTTGGGGGGTTAGCAGTTTGACTCTGATCTACCTAAATGTAATTTTTTTGTGTGTGTGTTTATCCTGCTTGTAGTTCTGCTGAGTTTCTTGGATCTGAAAGTTGATGTCTTTCACTAATTTTAGAAAAAAATTCAGTCATTATTTACTCAAATATTTTTCTGCCTATCTTTTCACTTTGGGGGCTCCGATTACACAAATGTTAAGCCTTTGATATCATTCCACAGATGTTAAATCCTCTGTTCTTTCTTCATTCTATTTTTTTCTTTCTATGCTTTGGTTTGGATAATTTATGCTGTGTGCATTATATTATAATTTAAGTTAAATCATCTTTTTTCTTGTGTCCAGTTTGCTGTGAAGCCCCTTCAATGACCTTTTCATTGCAGATAATGTATTTTCCAGTTCTAGAATTTTCACTTAGTTCTTATTTACAGTTTCCATCTGTTTGCTGAGATTCTCCCACATGTTCACTTATTTTATCCTTCTTTTCTGGTAAGTCCTTAACTGTATTCATAATAGCAGTTATAAAGTCCGTGTCTGCTAATTCCAACTTCTAGGTCATCTGTGGGTCACCAACTGCAGACCATTTTTTCCCCGTGATAATAAGTCATATTTTCCTGCTTCTTCATATGATTAAATTTCCATCCTGTACTGAACATTAAAGAGGACACCTTGTAGAGACTCTGGATTATGCTCTCCTACTCTAAAGAGTTTTGTTCTGGTGGATCCATGAAGGCTGTTTCAGGCTTTGTTAGGGTGGGCCTATTTTGGTTTTTCCTTTTGTCCTCAGGTATTGTCTTTGGTCATAAGATATAGTCCTTATGACCCTCTCATGGTTTCAATGGAAAGACACTGATCAAGTCTAATTTGGTGTGACCCCAAACTCCAAGCTCTGTCACGCCAGCACTTGGCAGCAGCTGAAATCTCTACTCAGCTCTTTAGTTTCCCAGACGTTTCTTTTTTTCTGGATTTCTTCAAGTCACACACTGCCTATGTAGAGGTTAGGGGAGAGCCAAGGATCTGAGGAGAATTGGGGCAGATTTCAGAGCTCCGTCCTCTGTGGCTCCCTCCTTTCTTGGATTTTCACCTTTAATTTCCAGCCATTCTGGCAGCCTTGAACTCTGACCCTATGTCATCTCATTAAGGCTCCCTCTTCTAGTTCTACCCTCCTGTGTGCCTCATGAGCAGACAGGTGCCTTTAGGTGAGAAGCTGGATAAATATGGAGCTCACCTAGTTTGCTTCCCTCTTTCAAAGATGGTGTCCCCTCCAGTCTCTGCCTCTTTTTGATTGTTCTCCTGGTCTTCAAAGAGTGGTTTTTAAGTATTTTGTCCAGAGTCAATAACTGTTACTGGCAGGAGGTCTAGTCAGATACGAGCTCTTCTGTCATTCCAGCAACAGGCACCCTTTCCTCACACGAGCTGCCACCACTCCACGGTGCAGGCCACGCGGCCTGCGTGTCTGCTCACCTGCCCAGCCCGCAACAGGAAACCCTGACATTGTAGAGCTGATGGCTATCCTATTTATCCACGAACACTGCCAGTTGTTTAATAATGTTTATTTTATTTTACTTTATTTATTTTTTTGTCCTTTTTTTGAGACCGGCCGCACCACGCTCAGCCAGTGAGCGCTGTGAGCGCACCGGTCATCCCTATATAGGATCCGAACCCGCGGCGGGAGCGCTGCACTCTCCCGAGTGCGCCACAGGCTCGGCCCATGTTTATTTTATTTTTAAGAATCTCTTATCCCAGGGCTAGTACTTGGCCTTCAAACCACTTGCTGACTTGAGGCGGCTCAGGAGCTCCTCATCCATCTCCTTCATTGTCATAACGAGAAATACATCCAGAGGCTGCACCGCTGGCTCCGGCAGAGGCTGGCTGGACGCTAGTCAAAGCTGTTTTCTTCTCCTGGTGCAGAGCTGAAGGTACGTTTGCCAGCCCCGTGCACCTCAGTGGGCTATGTGACTAGCTCCTGGCACATTTCCTCTCTTCCTCTTGTCTACCAGGTCAGTGATGCCAGGGTAATATTCTCCTTCTTCCCTTTCACCAGGTTAATTTTAAAACACTGAAGACAGTAGAGCCACAGTGTGGAAGGAGCAGGGTCTCTAAATGACTACCTGAAATAGAACTTTCTTGCTGACCAATATTTTACTGTGATATGGGCATAAAAGTAATCTTCAATTGTGCTAAACTACTGAGATTCTAGTTTTTTTCTTTTTAACACCAGTTAGTGCTAATAAATTTGCACAGATAATATCCTAATTAGTGGTAAAGATATGACTGGAAACCAGTCTCCTACTTCCTTTGATGTTAACAAGTATAGTTCCATTCATATAGAACTTTCATAATTTAACGGACCATGCCTATGAGTGAATGGGAAAATAGTAACTTACCTAGAGATCGAATGCCTTTTTGTTCAAGAAAGCTGTGTAAAACATTTGTATTAAGGTTTAATATAAAGCCCAGTTCTGGTGTAAGTTTCCAGAAGCCATCCTGTGAAATTAAGAAAACAAATTTGTCACACTATTGAATTTCACCATCTAAGAAATTATGTGATATAAATAAAAGCTCTTCATAAGCTAGTGTCACAGTACTGCTTAGAATCTCGTAAATACTATGATCCCTATGTATCTGGTGGCATTCATAAAAAGTCTAGAAAGAGGCTTGTGTGTAGTGATTTTACAAAAATGGTACTATACATTTTTTTTTCTTTTTCCTTTTTGTCTTTTTTACTGAACGGCAACAGATCGCAACCCTCAGTGTCGCGCCCGTACCGGACCGGGACCGGCAACGGGATCGCAACCCTCGGTGTTGCACCTGCACCACGCTCAGCCAGTGAGTGGGAACTGGTCTCCACATGGGATCCGAACCCTCGGCGGGAGTGCCGCCATGCTCCCACGCGGCGCACTCTCCAGTGCACCACTGGGCCAGCCCTACATTTTTTTCTTCTAGCAATGCTCTGAGCCAAAGTTTCTCAAATTTTTATTTATTCATTTATTTATTTATTTGTATTTGTATTTTCTTCTGGCAGCTGGCTAGCACAAGGGTTTAACCCTGGATGTTGGTGTTATCAGCACCATGCTCTAACCAACTGAGCTAACAGGCCAGGCCCTCTCAAACTTTTAAATAGCATGATTCCTTTTTTTAAAAAAAACACTTTATGCAGGTATGATTGACATACAGAAGGCTATAGATATTTAATGTAAACAACTTGATGTGTTTGGAGGTTAGCATACACTTGTGAAACCATCAAACCATTATATTATCACTATCAATACCATAAACTTATCTATCACTTCCATAAGTCTCCTTCCATTCCCTTTATTTTGTTTTGCTTTGTTTCTTCTTGTAGAAAGAACACTTAACATAGGATCTACCTCTCAGCAAGTTTTTAAGTAGATAATACAGTACCATTAATCAGAGGCCTTATGTTGTACACCAAATCTCCAGCACAATTCCTTTTATTCAACATTTAAAATGTACCCTTGTGTAGTCTAAAACATGAAAGTGATCGTTTTTTCTAAATATGAAACTGTTATATAAAACATGCTCTTTAAAACTACCTTCCCTGTGCCACTGTCCCCTGCCCACCCCATCACATGCAAAGGACAGTGTAATAAGCCTGAACATGGAGATCCTAACCCTGAAGGAGACAGACTCCAGGCGCTAGGGGAATAATACAAGGAGCAGAAAGGAGGGTGCCGTCATAGGCGGGTGCAAGGGTTAAAGGATCTAGGGCAGCAACTTGGAAAATAATAGCAGTGATAATATGTGCCAACCCATACAGAACTGGTACCAGGTGCTATTCTTTTATCTTTTCAGCCACTTATTGTGTGGGTACTATTATTATACCCACATTGCAGATGAGGACACTGAGGCACAGAGAGGTTAAGCAACTTGTCCAAAGTCACACAGCTAACAAGCAGCATAGTCAAATGGTCTAGCTGCAGGGCCTCACTCTGCACTATCTGCAATACTTCTCACAGGCTTTCACATGTATTATCTCAGGCAGGGAAGCTGGGTGGCTATTAGTATCCTGTTTAAACTTCAAAACTACTCTATGAAGCAGATATCACTATTATTCTCATTGTATAGATAAGGAAATTGAGACTCGGGTTATCCTACCTGCCCAGAATCACAAAGTGATAGGGCTGGGACTCACAGTCTTATACTAAATGAAGAACTTGCTACTTTACTAAACTATTTTACATCAAAACAAATCATTACAGGGCCGGCCCGGTGGCGCACTGCTACAGTGCACCGCTTGGGAGCACGGTGGCACTCCCACCGAGGGTTCGGATCCCACATACAGACCGGTTCCCGCTCACTGGCTGAGCAAGGTGTGGGCGCAGCACTGAGGGTTGCGATCCCGTGGCCGGTCCCGGTCCGGTACGGGCGCGACACTGAGGGTTGCGATCCGTTGCCGGACACGAAAAAAGACAAAAAGGAAAAGAAAACAAACAAACAAACAAAAAAATCATTACAGATTTAAGATTGGGTCTTAGTACCAGGTGCAGGATCTATATTTACAGGGTGTTTACTAGTGTAACAAATGGAATAAACAACTCTAACACAATATTACATGTTGAATAATACCTATATTCCCAAGACCTTATGTGATTAAAGTATACTCACAGCACCTGTGCTTTACTTCACAATGGGAAATGTATATGAATGGCAGTTCATCAGTTCTAGTACCTAGGAAATTAAGGTCAGCCTGTGATCTGTGTAGGGATGCTAGTTTTCAGATGAGGAATACTAACAGTCATAGCATGAGGTCTGGCCTAAAGGTTGATAGGCAGAGGCCACCAGTCACTATCAAGCACAGTGTTTGGTGCAGTGACTGTTTTCTCTTTTGGCAGCAGGACTCCTGATGCAAGAAACAGTGTGATTTCATGCTGGCGCAAGTCCCTTCTTGCACTGCAGACGGGAACCGACCAATTATGTGATCAGCCCGTTTGAATAGCACTGTTCTAAATTATGAAGCTCACTAAGCACAGATTTAAGGGAAAGTAAGACAAATACCTCAGTTTGTAGATGGAAGAGCTCGGTCCAAGGCACAAGATTCCTCTGGCTCTCTTTGCAGACCACATCATCCTCAGCTTCCTGTGCCTGAACGCTTGCAGCAAAGTCACCTGTATGCTGGTGTCTCATCACTTTCTGTTGTATAAGACACTTGTACGCTGGTGTCTCACCACTGTCTCTTTCACAAGAGCTTTCATGACTTGGGGCCCACAAATCTTGGAGAGAATCTGGTGATGCAGTTTCGGCAGAAGTACTCAGAAGGGAAGAAGCCTGTGACTGACAGTGAGCAAGCGGAGGCAAGTCTACAGGCGGCTTGTAACTGGTGCTTGAAGTGGCTAGGAAGCTTTGCAAATGAAAAGGAGAGGAACCAGAGGGAAGACAAAAACCTGAACCAGTGCTAAGAACTCTAGAAGGAGAGGAAAAATCTGGCTGGGAGAGAAAGACCTGCCTATGGGAGGCGTGAGCATGTGGGCTGATCTGACAGTCTTGAGAAGGTTCAGGTGGATCTGACTGCTGGAAGCCCAAAAAGCCACCTGAAAAAGCACCGCCAGTGAGGGATCCAAAAGCTGGGTTCTGGGGAGGCAATGGGGAAGGAGATGTCGACCCACAGAGAATGCCAGGCCAACCGCCAGTCCAAAGGCCTTGGCCACGACGAGATAGGCCTAACAGCTTGGGACGAGCCAGAGAACCACAAAGAAATCTCTGCGGAGGTAAGCGGGGAGAAGGGCAGGCAGTGCCAGGTAAGTGGGGAGGAGGGGGGGCACCTGCGCGGGGGGTTGGGGCAGCCAGGAAAGAGGGTACGCCAGAGGCTGCAGCAGCAGAAAGAAAGTTAGATACAGTCGTTGTCCGTGAAATACGTCTCATCAACGATGTTTGTTTAAACAACTCCCTCTGACTTAAACCCAGTGGCTTTCCCACACCTTTACATTCAGAATTGGGTGTGGGAGGTTGGACTGCTGATTGCGAATCAAAGCGAGCCACTTCACCATCTTCAGCAACTTCCAGCTCAGGTGACCTAACTCTTCTTCCAGTCAGACTTTTCTCTTTTTTTCTTTTTCTCTTAACATGTTGCGATTCTTCATTCCGTTCAGAGGATGCTGAAAGAGGCTGCCCAGGAGAGAGAATTATTCATGTTGGGGGAAACCCAGAATAAAATGAACAGTCAAGAAAACATCTTTCTAGTAGCCGACTTGCCAGCAGTGAAGCAACTGCTCAACCTAGAGCACGATTCCCAGAATCAGGATCGTCAACACGGGCAGGGACACAGAAAACACCACTGGAGATAACTGAAGACCATTTAAGTACGAGGCCCTCCTTTGGTAGCTGCGGAAGCTGGAGAGCATACCAGCAATTGGTAAATTGAAAGGTCTTTCTGTTTTCATTCTTAGGGCCACGAAATTTTAAACACCCCTCATTTTACACATGAGAAAACCAAGGACCACAGAAACAACATGCTTAAAATTTTACAATGAATAGTACCATAGTGTGTAAAACCGCTTTAAAATAAACTAATAATTTGAAGTACATTATTCCATTCTTCTACACTGCTTTTCAGCAATACTAAGAAATTGAGAAAATATTTAGAAATCTTCAAAAGCTTCAAAGTAACCAAATGAATATATCTTTACATCAGAATGTGAACAATATGTAAAACAAAAGGGAAAGAGGGGATGCTGTTACTGCTATTATTTGAATTTAAATGTGAAGAGTGCACCTTAAAAAGTTGCTAGTGAACCAAATCCAGTTTTATATGGATGACAAGTTTCCGAGATATTTTGGAAATACAGTTAGTCCCCCTTTATCCAAGACCCCCACTGGATGCCTGAAATCATGGATAGCCTGAACCCTACACATACAATATTAAGAAAATAAACGTTTCTGTTGCAATTTTTTTTCCCTAATTCATCATTGTCTTTGGATTTTATTTCTTGTATGTCTAAATCTCTTTCAGCTTTTGGAAATACCATCCAAAGACCTCCTTGGTGTTAGCCTTTCAGTGCAGTTGTGGTTCACTGATGCCTTGCCTCATTGCACAAGAGGACAGAAGATGCTGGTTGTGCATTTTCATTCACCCTGTCTTGTCGCTACCGTCATTCTATGGCAGCGACAGCTTCCCTTCTATCAATAAGAGGATGTGACCAGGACATCAGCCCAGACAAGGAGAGGAAGCATGGTTTTCTGAAGTTATCATCCCCACTCCCTGCCCTTTCTTTACAGACAACTACAAAATAAAACAAAAATACTGCACAAAGGGTTGAGGAAACACATTTTCTGTTTCTTTCTCTTTTTTCTATACCATCTCAAAACACACCAAACATGATTTTATGAACAAATGATATGTGCTTTTTTAAATCAACTAACATAGTCACTTTAAAAAAGGATCAAAGAAAATGAGTATTTCACACATTTATTTTTCCCCAAATTTCCCTACCCACAAACGTTTTTCCCTTAGAATTCTAAATTCTTTTTTTAGCAGCTGGCCCATATGAGAATCTGAACCCTTGACCTTGGTGTTACAACACTGCACTCTAACCAATTGAGCTAATAAATTCTGGAAATTTTACTTCTCTAACCTGGATACCTGAGACTCTTATTAGCACTGTTTTATTCCTCTGCTTTTGAATATACCTTCTAATTTTTATTTAAGTCACATTTCTCGATATCTATTATGTTTCTGGCTATAAAGGCCACAGTATAAAGCATTATAAACTTTAAGAAATATTGGTGGTAAATTTAGATTACTAGATAGGACTTTTATCACTAATTTCATAATGAACCTATTACATTACCTAAATGACTTTAGCTTCTTGTATGACAGCTTAGTTGTCCATGAATGACATATAACCACAGTTCTCTTTTTGTACTTTACAGCTGCATTTATATATAGTGAATGGCTCAGTAATGCAATGGCATTTCTATAAATGTGTGAATATTTCCCACCATCAGGGATACAACAATTTCTGCATAGACAGGTAATAAGGCTGCTATTTTAGCAAAGGGTCACCTCACCATCAGGAAAATATAAAAGCACAATATCAATTTATATGGTAATTACCATTTACCTGTTTCATGTTGGCATCTGGCTGCTCCTCCTGCCAACTCAGGTATGGCAGAAAGTCTACATCTTCTGTGGCAATAAGTTCCGAAACATTTGGAGTATTAGGAAAAGATGACTCACTATCATCCTATATTGAATCACAACTGGGTTAAATCAAAGCAGACGTTATCGAATTAAATGATTATTACACATTCTAAAGCCCTGTGGATGTTGGGTTTGGAATACACTTGTGTGTGAGATTGGACCTCGTGTCCTGGGCCACAAGCACGGGAGAAGGCGGACGTGCACAGGTGGGTGGCTGTCCTCTCTGCGGGTGCCGGGCGTTGCCCGTGTGCACTTAAAGATTTCCCTCTTACGCTTTTGAGGGGAAAGGGCTTCTCAGAGGGTAAAGGAAACCCAGGCCTTTTCCATTTTTTGAGGGTCTTGAATTAATAAAAGATGAGAACAGCCAAAAATGTAACAAAATTGTGGTATATCTTACAAATACTCATGTAGCTAATTAATACTTATAATATTAAAAATGACAACACAGGCAACTCGTTTAGCGAGACCCTGGTAAATCCCACTTCAAGGTCTCTCCACCGTCTCTCCACAGGCCTCAGGCGTCGGCTGCCGCTGACAATCAGAGCAAGAGTAATGTTCTCGATGTGTGAATATAAGTAAAATAACTTCACCATGAATGAACAATACATACCCTTTTCTCAACTGCCACAAAGCTTGTAAATTGTGTTATGAGAGAGTGTTCCTTACTGAGTTTAATAATCAGAGATTTCAAGGCTTGTTTCTTCATCTACAATAGAATAAAACAAATGAAATCATGTCCTGTTTTATTTATAGATGACCAATTAAAAGAGTATTAATTTAAAAAGGTGTTTTTCTATGACAATTAAATTATCTTATAATTAGTACTTCAAACTAAATATTGAGTCAAGGGTCCTGTCTAAATATTTTAAGTAGGTAGCTCAACGTTCCCTGCAAAACGGGATCAACTGACTCAGCTGAGGCACAGAGAAAGAAGGTCACATTTATATGCTCTCCGGAGCTCACAAGAGCTGTCACATGAGGTGCCCTCTGTCATTCTCGCACAGTGTCTAGCTCCGGTTTTAAAGCGGAGTAACTGGAGAAGCGGAGCAGCTTGTTCGGGATTGTTGAGAACACAAAGGCTGCTAATCCAAGAGTGGTCAAGAACTGTGAAAGCAGAGGCCACCTGTCACCTGCTGCGACTGTCTGCGGGGGTATCCAGGGCCCTGCACGCCATGCTAGCATCTTCTTTTTGGGATAGCATGGAGCACCAATGCTCCCAACCTCATTCAAGGTCACAGCCCCTGAGAGACCAGACAGCCCAGCACGGTGGGCTGGCTGAGGGGGACACTTTCCAGACCCCTCATCTGCAGAGTTAGGAGTGAGCAAGGTGGGCGTGGCTCCACCGTGTGTCCTCAGGCAGGTCGCCTGCCGTGCTGCACCTGGGCTTCTCCATCATTGCGATGGGAACGCTAACACTACTACATGTGAGGGTAGGTGACGTCCACTGCAGACGCTCAGGGAGCGTTGTCTGAGCCCTCCACCAGCCTCTCTCTGAGAGGTAAAATATCTGAATTCTCAGGGGACCACTGACATCCGATCTTTCTTGAATTCATCCAAATAACATTTATTGAGCTCCCTACACCCAGGCATGGATGTCACAGGTACAGTGAGGAAAGCTCCCTGACACCACATCCTTCTCTATCCTGCTATTCTAACTTCACACTTCCAGGGATAAATCAATTGTAGAATGATCAAGAACAATGCACAATGGTTTTTACTGTGAAAACAACGAACCTCATGACTGGTTTCATTTTCGTGGAGAATGCCATCTTCATAATCTCTGATCAGAGCTCGTGCTGTCAGCTTGTGAATCATCTGTGTTTAAGCAGCAAAGGAAAAAAGGACTCAAATGGCTTTGGAGACATCCACAGAACACCATTTTAAAATTGAGGTATAATTTACATACAGCAGAATTCACCCGTTTTTTTTTTTTTTAAAAGATGACCGGTAAGGGGATCTGAACCCTTGACTTGGTGTTGTCAGCACCACGCTCACCCAGTGAGCGAACCGGCCATCCCTATATAGGGATCTGAACCCGTGGCCTTAGTGTTATCAGCACCGCACTCTCCCAAGTGAGCCATGGGCCGGCCCTAGGATTCACCCGTTTTAAGAGTACATTTGAAAAAAAAAATAAAAGAGTACATTTGACGAGTTTTAATGAATGCACACAGTCGTGTGACAACCACCATGATGAAGACACAGGACATTCCCCTCACCCTGGTAGGTTCCCTCATGCCCCCTGCGTCACCCACAGCCCTGGCAACTGCTCATCTGTTTTCTGTCCCTACAGTTTTGCTTTTTCTATAAAAGGCCATTTCACCAGTTGAATTTCAAAACTTTAAAACTTCTCTTCTACTACAGTAGAAGGGAAGGGCCAGCATGGTGCTGGGACGCCTGCGCGTGAGAGTGGCCTGCACCCTGCAGGGCGGGGCCGCACGCCGGGCATGGCCAAGTGTTTCCTCTCAAATGACTAAGAAATGTAACTGATCTTTTTTTTTTTTTTTCCTTTTTGTCTTTTTTTCGTGACCGGCAACGGATCGCAACCCTCAGTGTCACGCCCGTACCGGACTGGGACTGGCAACGGGATCGCAACCCTCAGTGTTGCGCCCGCACCTTGCTCAGCCAGTGAGCAGCCGGTCTGTATGTGGGATCCGAACCCTCGGCAGGAGCGCCGCCGCGCTCCCAAGCGGTGCACTGTAGCAGAGCGCCACTGGGCCGGCCCGAAATGTAACTGATCTTAAACGACAGTGTCTGCTTTCAATAATTTCAATTCATAATTTTGTTAGTGATAAGGCCATTGTTCACAGAGCAAGTACAACTATAAAAATTGTGATTTTATGGAAAAAGACTTCTTCCCAGGTAAAATCCTTTTTCCTTTTTGCCCCCTTGAATTCAATTGTTGAAGCAATATAGAGATCCCCTTAAGTTCTATGCATAAGTCACTGGCAAGTAGCAAGTCACTTACTGATTCAGTGCCCAAAAGTAAGCTGTATTTTATTTTTTAAAAAACCAGCATTGTCTGGGAAGTGATTTCTCTGGTTATACAAATACTCCTAAAAGCCCTTGTGTTAGCTAATATACCCTCCGCCAGAAAAGTAAAACGGCGTTAAAGACTGAGATACACAAAATGGCACCTGAGAAAGTTTTCCAGAAAACCCCCACCCAGAAAATAACCTTAGCTGCCACGTCACCTTCCTGCGCGTGCAATTTTGCCTGCCTGTGAGAAAGTCCCAGCTCCGTTTAAACCCCACTCGCTTCCCTCCCTTCCTTCTTAGCCAACAGGAACGGTCCAGCTCAGCCTAACTGGATATAAAAGGCCCAGCCTGACTCTCCCTGCTGCTGCTCCCACTTTTGAGAGGGAGGCCTGCTTGTTCCTTTTGCCTGCCTGATACACTCTGGTTGAGTCCCTGCCTCCTGGTGTGTCTTATTTTGCACTTGGGCTGGGGTTTTTCCTTTTACCTTGTAACTTCTTTAAGGATAAGAATGGATAGGAATATCTTTTATTATAACATTTGGTCTCTGGTCTGGTTTCTGAAACAGCTCCAGAGCAGTAAAAGTGAAAGGAGCATCTTTTCTAATTCTTAACAAGTCCCTTTCAATTACTCAGGAGTTTATGTTAATGAGGTGACTTTTGGAAAGCCCCTAAGGATGGGGGGCTGGTGCCAGGGGGACCAACCCTGTGATTAGAACTTTCAGCCACCTGCCAACACCCTTCAGAGGGGAGAGTTAATCACCAATGGCCATTGATTTAATCAACTATGCTTACATAATGAAGCCTCCATTAAAAACCCCCACTGAAGGGCTGGCCCGGTGGTGCACTGCTACAGTGCGCCGCTTGGGAGCACGGCGGCGCTCCTGCCGAGGGTTCGGATCCCACATACAGACCGGTTCCCGCTCACTGGCTGAGCGAGGTGCGGGTGCAACACCGAGGGTTGTGATCCCGTTGCCGGTCCCGGTCCAGTACAGGCGCAACACTGAGGGTTGCGATCCGTGCTGGACACGAAGAAAGAGACAAAAAAAAAAAAAAAAAAAAAAACCCACTGAAGAGGTTTATAGAGCTTCTGGGTTGGTAACCACATGCCAGGTGGGTGGTGGACCCCACTCCATGGAGATAGATGCTCCTAACCTTGGGACCCTTCTGGATCTTGCCCTATGTACCACTTCACCCAGCTGTTCATCTGTATTCTTTATAAAAACCTTTGTAATAAATTGGTAATAGTAACGAAAGCATTTCCCTTAGTTCTGTAAGCCATTACAGCAAATTATTGAACCTGAGGACGAGGTGTGGGACCCTCCAACTTGTAGCCAAGTCAGACAGAAATTGTGGGTAACCTAGGACCCACCACTTGCAATTGGCATGTAAGTGGGAGACTTCTTGTGGGACTGAGCCCTTATACTGTGGGGTCTGTGCTAACTTTGGGAAGTTGGTGTCAGAATTAAATTAAATTGGAGGATACCCAGTGGGTGGCAGAGAATTGTCTGGTCTGGGGAAAAAGAACACACAAGTGGAGACCAGAAGTGTTGTGAGTAGAGAGGAAATAGGAGCTTTTTCTTTCATAATTCGTTCATTTTTAATCCAGAATTGGAAAAAACCCCACGTTCTCAATATGAGATATGATCTACTCTTAGTCCAGTAGTGTTATAATTAATATTTTTAAATAGCATAGACGGACCAGTGGCACTTAACTTTCATTGAGTCATGAACATTTCTGAGAGCCTCCCTAGAAAAATTTTTTTATGAATAAAATACCATATTTGATCGCAGTTATTCATGCCCACTGATGCCCACATAGACACTCCCAGATGAACTGCTGCAATAGAAACTGAAGGAAAGTGTCCCCATTTGTAAAGATAACCCAGCTCCACGTCATGGACTGAAATTTCAACACAGAAAAACAACAAAGGAAGTACATGGAGTGTTACGTATGAAAATATAAAATTGTAACTTTTGAACAATGGCTTCATAGTTAAAGGTTTGAATCTTACAGTTCCAGTTGTCTTCTGAAGCTCAGTAGTAGACACCATTGTACAAAATTCTTTCTCTTGAATTAATGCACATAGAGTTGCCTGAATGATAAAAAAATTAATTCCTCATTAGCTTTTCTACTCTACAGTGTCTTGGTTAGTTTAATAGAAATTCTTTCAGCGATTGCCTCTCCTCTTTCAATGGAAATTAGAAGCCTCCCCAGGATTCTAGCTAACCACCAGCTATGTTCCTACAAGGAGAAAATCCGCCAGAGAGAGGGAGAGGGAAGAAAAAGAAAGTTATAGTAAAATACACTGCTCTTTCCCTAGTACAACAAACTGCACGTCTTCTTGCCTGTGTACAATGAGGAACAAATCCGTAGACAAGGAGTCGGTCGCTGTGGAACAAGGACGGTGCCTGGGCTGGGGCCTGCAGGGGCTTGGGTGCATCTGTGCTTAGTTGCTGCCATTTGACGGAGACAGAGTGGCAACTTGGGGAACGTAACCTGGTCATTTGGTCTTCTATCTATTCATAAAAGAGGAATTATTTTTCCTTTAATGTTACATCCAGAAAATAGTCACTTAACATTTAAAGTTTACATTCAATTCTTTAGGGATTTTGTAGCTCTTTGGGTATTTTGCTCCTTCCTGCTACAGGGTACTTTTCCAAAAAGATTTCAAATAGACTTTTTAATAATAGCACTATCACATCATTTAAATGTACAAAGCATCTTAAAATTATTCAATTGGCTAATTATTAACAGGCAACTTTGATATGAGTAGATTCAATTTATAAAAATTGATCCCACAAAGGACTTGAATAGACATTCCTTCAAAGTAGATACACAACTGTCTAACAAGCACATGAAAAGATGCTCAGCACTGCTAGTCATTAGGGAAATGCAAATCAAAACCACAACGAAATACAACTGCACCCCCATTTTGATGACTATTAAAAAAAAAAAAAAAAAAAAAAAACAGAAAATGGAAAATAATGAGCATTTGTGAGGATTGGGGAGACTGGAACCCTGGTGCACTGCTGGTGAGAATGGGAAACAGCACAGCTGCTGAGGACAGTGTGGCAGTTCCAGGGACTCAGACAGACACCGGGACACCAGTGCTCACAGGCACGTCACTCACAGCAGCTGAGGGGTGGAAACAACCCAGCATCCATAAACGAAAAGAATGAATAAAAACATGTGGCATATACATACAATGGAATATTATTCAATCTTAAAAAAGAAGGGAATTCTCACACATGCTACGACACAAAGGGACCTTAGAAACATGCTAAGTGAAATAAGCCAGACACAAAAGGACAAATGCTTTACGATTCAACTTATATGAGGCACCTGGAACAGGAAATTCATAGGAACAGAAACTAGAATAGAGGTTAGCAGGGACTGGCAGTAGGAGGGAGTGTGGAATTACTGCTTCGTGCACACCAAGTTTGGTTTGGGATGATGAAAAAGTTCTGGAGACAGTGGTGATGGTTGCAAACACTGTGAATGTGCTTAACACAAATGAATTGTACACCTAAAGACAGTTAGATGGTAAGTTTTATGTATATTTTACCATAATAAAAAATAATACCAGCAAAACATATATAATGCTTCATTTTTAAAAATCAACCCTTGACACTTTATAAGGCAAAAATCAAACTGTTCCTTGTGTTCCTGTGAGATGATGGTGGCCCCTGAGGGCAGGGCTCATGCCCTTGGCAGATTTTGCCTCTTTACAGCTCCCCTTTCCATTCAAGAAAACACAGAAGTCACTGTCACTTACATTTGTTAGAAGATAATATGTCCACATGTAAACCTGAAACTAGAGATAACATGTTTAAAAAACATACCTGTTTTTTCCAACTATGTTTGGATTTTGAGTTAAAATATTCAAACACTCCGGCACCATGCTGTGACAAAGTCCTTAAGAGGTGACGATTTGCTGTAAAACTGATCACATTTCACATGTATTAATTTTCAAGAAAATTTTGAAACATGTTAACAATGTTGAGAAAGCTCAAAACTCAATAAAAGAGACATTTCATGAAGGAGACTTTACTCTTCTGTAGCTGAGGTTAAAGAGAGAAAACTGTTAACAGCAGAAAACACCTGCAGGTTTGGCTAATTTAAGCACCCACGTACCAGCACACCCACTGCTTATCTTTCATGACAGAAAAATGTAGAAATTCTTGGCTTCCACTTGCTGAAGGAGGCAGATGATTTTTAAAAAAACCCAAAGGTATCAGAATGCTGATAAAGACATCGATCTACTTTCAAATCTGAATCCGATCCCAAAAGCCAAGACATGGCAAAAGAGTTTAATAAAGTCTACATCTTAAAATTTGATACACATCTAGACAGCAAAAGGCTAAAGAAATAACTCCCATTTTAACAACGAACATCTTTGATATTTAAATAAGTGCCTTATTAAGTTTCTCTCAATAATAATTCTACAACTGTTAAGGACTCCTTTCTTAGATGGGTTCCTCTGGAAATATAAAAGAAATGATCAATTATTTTTCAGAAAAATAATGTAAAAAAGTTATTTCCAAAATATTTTTTAGCCTATTGATAACGATCGGATTTGTGTTTTCTCAAAATTAATTGGTGATGAATATAACACTGACTAGAAAATCCTTAAGACAGGGTTTGTTTGTATTTTATGTGTTCCCTCCACGAATGAGGCTGGCTGGATCTCTTCAGTGCTCCTACGTGTGGCCCTCAGAGGACAGGTTACTACACCAGGGGGAAAGCGGATGAAGTCGCTACTTCCGGAGGACTCTCATTACTAGGGTTTGTAAATATAAACTTGTGTGTGGAAAATGAGGCAGAAACACTTACAAAGACCCTACGAATTTGACAGAAAAGCAGTAAGGGCAGCAGCTTCCCCAGGCAGGGTGGTGCTAGCCAGCACGGTCGCCTGGCACTTAGGAAAACCTGATCTCCTGGCCAGGCCCAGTGGGCCCCATTGTCTGTCTCAGAACAAGCCTCAGCGAAGAAGCAGAGCAGGTGCCGGGCTGCGAGGGCAGAGTCAGCGCTGAGTGCGTGGAGCCTGCGCTGGCTGGTAAATATCCTGGTTTGTCCATGATGACTGGTCAGGCCTTGGATGACAGAGAACAGGATGAGGGGCTGTGACTGAGTAGGGGCGGAGGGTCAGGGGGCTGCGGAGGGGCACTGGGGGGCGTCAGGGCCAGCTCCTGGAGCTCGGGAAGGGGGCAGGGTTCGGGCTCACATGTAGGACAGCACCGGGCCCCCGCCACTCCCACCAACATGAGGGGGTCGCTCTGTGCACTGCCTCAGAAAGAATACTTCTAGTGACCATTTGCTGGGGTGGTGGCCACACGCAGGAGAGTCCTAGGGCCACAGGGGAAGGCTCTGTGCAAACACCAGGCAGCCACCTCTGTTGGGTGTTCTCTGCACAGATATCTCAGTGTGATCCAAAGGGCTAACTATAATTTGGGAGGAGGTAATTCCAACTACCTAGGGGTTTCAGCCTCCCTAGAGAAGATTCTATGCACACTACAGGGTGTGAAAGAGCAAATGCTCACAGTGGCCAGGGAAGAGTTGTGAAGGGGGGGTCCCCCAAGCCACAGGCACCCCCAGCCCTAGTCCAAAACAGCCTGTGGGAAGTGTGCCCAGGCTGCTCAGGAGAGCTAGAAATTGGGATTCCTATGCCAAATAATAACATCTAACACTGATTTGGTGCTTACTGTGTGCCAGTTCTGTTCTAAGTGCTTTCTGTGTAGGAGCTCATTTAATCCTCACAGCAACCCTATGAGGTAGGAACTTTCTGTAGCATCTCCACTGCAGATGAGAGGTTAAGCAGCTTGACCAAGGTCACAGCTAATGAGTGGCCGACTCAGGTTTTGAGACCAGGTAGTCTGGCCAGGGCCCCACTCCGCTACCTCATACAGCTTCTACACACTAGAATCAACTTCCAAACTTTCAAAAATTCTGTGCAGACCAATAAAAAGACCTACCAGCAGGCTGCCTTTTCCACCCGCAGCCTACACTGTGTGACTGGATCTGAGACTTACCCGACACCACAGGCAAACAGCCTGCTATGGTGAACGCTTCTTTTCACAAGCTGTAATGTCAGGCTCTCATTCTGGAGGTGCCCGTCAGATACAAGGAGAATGTTCCGTAACCCTTGAGAAGGGTACAGTAAACTTAAATATCGGAGTGTTTTCCAGAAGTCTGTGTTCCCCATGGTGGGTTGAGCAGACTGTAGAATATGAAGCAAAAGATTATTTACTCCTTTTTAAGTATATTCACCATTAAGTGTAATCATTTACTGAAGTGCATCTCCTAATGAGGGTTTAAGATATACCATCATCAAAAATATTGTCCCTTCCTTATATACATTTGTGGAACAACTATACTTATATCCTTTTGGTTTATTTCATGTCACACAGTAACTGTCATACTATCACTCGGCACTTATTTGTTTTTCTTCAGTTTCCAAAGAACTGTTACATCTATGAGAGGACGCATCTCATCAAAGTGCCCTTGGGCTCGCCAGCTGCACTGCAGTGCTGACTGGTCACTCTCAGCTCACTCCATTTTAAGAGAAAGAAAACAAGGGACAGAAAAAACATTTCAAAACTGTTAATGCTAGTTGCATTGGGTGATGGGACTGCGGGTGATTTTTTTTTTTTTACTTTTTAATTTCCAATATTTCTTAAATGAGTTCATATCACTTTTATTTTATTGTTATTATAAAATAGCCCATGACCATACAATAATCAAAGGACTAGAGAGGTGTTCTGATAGCAGCCCTAGGGGGAGAAGGTCTGCTCAGCACCTCTGAAGCTGGACAGGAGGAGGCTCAGGAGGCAGAGGAAGGCTCTCTCACTCACCATTATGAACTCTTTTGCCACATCACTGCTTCTGATGTACGTAGGATATGAAAATAACTCCTTGTAACCTGTGTAATAGGAATTGGCATGAAGTGTTGCTGTTAAATATTCACTTGACTGACCGTTATCAAACAGTAATGCCACTTTATACTACTACTGCTATAGTAAAGAATGTTATATATTTATGTCTTCTTTTTGCAAAATTGTTTGATCATTTTAATGTACAAAAAATTCGTTGCAGTATTTCTCTAAATAATACATTTTAGAGCATTCAAACGATGCCCTTTACTATGCAAAATGTTCTGTGTCATCTCCCACGTGCAGACCTCTTCCCACGGCAGATCGTTTGTACAAAGCGATGTGGGGGTGTCACAACGGCATGGCAGCTTGGCCCCTGGAAGGGCCCAATCTCCAGCCATACCCTTTGCACTCCCCACGCTTATATGACCTGTGCCCCCGGCAGCAGCAGACCCCAGCTTCGTCATAAAGGTGTTGGGCCTTCTGCTGGATGAGAGTCAGTAAGATACAATTGTCCCCTCAGTCACTCTATGCTCCTTCTCTCATCCCTGAAATGGTGGCTGAGACGTCCCTGGGCCCCAACTGGAGAGTGGCATTACTTTCCACCTAACAGTGCTGACCTGATGCTCCCTGACATCATTCTGTACAGCTTTTCTGTAACTGTACTAATTTCAAATGCTGTGTCTTATCTTTGGGATGCTCCTAATTGACACACCAACGGTCTTGCATTTGGTTGAGTTGGTAATAATAACAATAGTAATATCTGTATATCACCTACTATGAAACAGGCACTGTTTTAAATCCTTTACATACATTCGTTCAATCCTCACAACAACTCTACAGATTACAGGTGAGGAAACTGAGTCATGACAAGTTCAAGCAGCTTGCGAGGGCGACACATGGACCTTGTGAGTGGTAGAGTTGGGATCTGGACCCGGGTAGCTGGCCTGAGCTTCATGCTCAGCTACCTCTCACTCTGCAAATGAGTGGGTCACCCAGCAGTCACCATCTGCAGAGCGTGCTAATGTCAAGGCAGAAGCACACTGGGGACCAGAGCCAAGGAGCACTTACCTGTGCCGAAAAGGACGATGTTCACTCTCTGCTTCTCACCCACCAAGGACAGTGCATGCAGGGCAATCTGCTTGGCTTGTGTGAACATCACACCCTCCATGGAATTGGAGCAATCAACACAAATAACCACTTCACTCTTGTCAGCGAGGTCAGGGAGGGCAGTGTTGAGATCGGGTTGAAAGACAAGCATGCAAGCCTGTGGGAGGACAAAATGGGCACTGGCCCAGGCTGCTGTCAACTTACCTGCTTGGGCATGTTTAGACTGGCACCACTGTATGTATCAAGACACCACAAAACTTCCACCGAGAAACCCACCTACGCAGTCTTGCTAAATGGTGGGCTTGTAATTGGGATATTTCACCACTGAAAACTGGTGAAAAGCCCTGGGCTTGGACACATCACTTCTCACTCAGTCTCAGACTCTAATGGGAATGCTCCACTTGTGAATGAGGAATTGCTGCCCCCCAAAAAAACCTTTAAAAAGGGAGAGACATAAACCCATCCATGTGTGCATGACTATGTGTGTGTCCGATATACAAATAGTCATGTTTACAGAAAAGATGAATTGAAGTGTGCCCACTCCTGCTACTGAGGAAGTGCACCAGTTTTCATGTCTCCTACATACTGTGCTCAGCTGTGTCATCTGAAAGACAATTTAGCTTACATACAACTAATGTTTCAGGCATCCCTCTGAGGTACAAAACAAGATATACCACATAGCTAGGATTTTCAGAATTTGGCATAAATGCATAATTTTTATTGGAAAAGATCTACTTGTAAAATACGTGAAATTCTAAAACTTTCTAGTAAGGTAAACTAATATCATAAAAACAAAAACAATAAGATTTATTAAAAAGCCAGATGGCTTACTAGGAGTTCAAATAAAAAGCTGTAAGAAAATGTTAGAGCTGGAGTTCCCAACATACAGGCCATAAACTCGAGAGGTCAGGAATTAACACTGAATTACTGTCTGAAAAATCATAAGGTATTAACATCGAAGAATGAGTAAATATCTCTCTCCCTCCCTCTCTTTCTCTCTTTTTCTCTCTCACATACACACACACACACACACACACACACACACACGAGAATATAAATGCTGTTGTGATTACTAAAATATACACACATACTTTTTATTTTATTAACCAATACTTAAAATACAAGAATTATCACACAAGTTTCCATTTTTATTTTAACTTAAGAAACAATTCTTTGCTATAGCCACACAAAATAGTCTTATGGCCATGAATAATTTTTTGTTTTTCCAGTATCAATATTTAAAAAGTATAAAAAGTATGCAGACTAACCAAAGTAATGTGTGACAGTAGCTTTCTTTTTGCAGAGGAATCATGTAAAAACTACAATCTTTGTAGGGAAATAGGCCACACGGGGGTTTTGGTTGAAACATCAGAAGCTTGTCACTCTTTATATCGAAAGTATTTTTAGTTGCACAATTTTGGAATGTGAGTGCTCATTTTGTAATGCTAGTTTTTCAGGGCTATCAGTAACTTCCGAATTGAATAACCTATTAATTCTGAAATATTTTTCCAATAGCGTCTCATACTTCTAAGGAAGAAGGACTATACCTCGCTTTCTTTTTCTGGATGTTTCTCAACCCACATTCTTGGGAGATGAGGATCCGTCAAACCAATGTGGAGAGAAAACCCACTGCTGTCCAGGGAGCTGCCTTCCAAGGTGCTGATCACAGCTTTGCAGTCTGTGCTCTACAAAACAAATACCCACACAACTAGTAAATAATGGAAAGCACCATATCATCAATCTGCACTTACGTGCCAAGTTGCAACCCCCCTGCACAGGTTTACATAACTCTATTAACGATCAACAATGTAGTAATAAATTCCAAGTTTATGAAATGTAGGTTTTAGAAGCGTGACCATTATCATATCAGTTACCCTCCTGAAATTGTAAGGTTGATTCAAATGCAGGTAAGTTTGCCTGTATCCAAAGGTTACAGATATGTATATTCAGTTAGACTTCTTGATACAGCAGAAAGCACACCAGATAATCAAAATGTAGAATAGTGAAATGGAACATTCAATAGAAATCTTAGAATTATACCTCATTTGAAAATTGTATTTTCATAAGTATAGAAACACTTTTAAAGATGCAAATGATAAGCTTTCAAACAATGAAGACAATGTGGTAGACTGTAAAAAGGCAATGAAGTCCCTCCACTCCTGTTCACTCGCCCCTTGACAATGTGACTTTGAAGCTTGCCCATCTAGGGGGTGTCAATTTCTTTGCCCTTGAATTGGTCAATGGAGTCAGCCATGTGACTTGTTTGGGCCAATGGGATATTGGAAGATGTGATGCAAGTTCAGGCTGGAAAAGGTCTATGCAAAGGAGCTGGGCCTCTCTTGTTGCCATGGGGCCTCCCAAGCCAACCTGCTGGATCATGGAGACACAGCCACCTCTCCAGCTGAGACAGGCCAGCAGCCAGGTGTGTGCATAAGGCTGTCTAAGACCAAACGGTCCCCACCAAGCCAGCCCACTCAGAACAGCCCAGCCAATCCACAGAACTGTGCCATAACAAATGTTTGCTGTTTTAAGCCACAAAGTTTTGGGGCTGTTTGTTATCGGCAAAAGATAACTGATGAGGAGGGCTTCTCCTTCAGGATGGATTAAACACACGTGCTTATCCACGCACCGTAGCAAAATGCTAAGCCCTCTACAAGGACGGTGAAGCACTAATATGTGTATGAACCCATGAGGCACTGAAACAGGAACAAAGACATTAGCTGATGAGAAAAGTCTACAAGTTTTAGGAAGACAGAAAGCTGATGGGGATGTGGTGAGTGACTTGGCCTGAGTGGAGGAAGCCACTGCCTGAGGGCCTGCAGAGGGACAGCCACCAGAAGTGGGCTCCTTAGCCCTGCAGCAAGCAGGGAAGGAAGGCTCAAGAACGGAGGCACCAGGCACTGTGAAAACGTGGTCCTAGTGAAGAGACGACGTAGTAAGTTGTCAGGACACTGCCCCTTCACACCCCAAGTAGCTGAGCGGCTGGCACCTCTTATGCCCTGTTCTCTTGCTTGGGGAAACTGGAAATTTATTACTTAGAGAAATTCAACCAAATAGAATCCACACTAGGGAATGCTAGACACAGGAGCATAGGAGTAAAGGGCTGCTTCAATGAGGCGAAGACAGGGCAAGCTGGCATCCTATAGGCTGCCCTCCAGTCTATTCTAATTGACTTTCTTGTGTCTCAGTTTCAACTATGAACCCAGAGAGGGTCACCCAGACATTTGAGGAAAAGCCTCTAAAATGATATATGAGACCAAACAAACAAATATCCAGAAGGGGGGAAAAAAAAGAAAGAAAGAAAAGGAACTCAAAGAGAGGAGACACAACACAGGGAACAGAAGAAAAAATATATTACAAACGTTTTCAGAGAGATGAGAGGATAGTGCATTCATGGATCACATAGAGATGCTATAAGAAAGGGAATACTTTTTCTGTTCATGGAACAGAAAAGCACTCAGACAAATAAGACACATGGGAATTAAAATAAAAATCTCTCTAGAATAGTTGGAATTATTATTTATTTATTCATTTATTTTTGGTGGCTGGCTGGTACAGGGATTGAACCCTCGACCTTGCTGTGTGAGCACCACACACTCTAACCAACTGAGCTAACTGGCCAGCCCTGAATAGTTGGATTTGAAATTGAAAAAAATCACTGAGAAAGTAGAACAAAAAGATAATAAAATAGGCAATAGGAGAGAAAGTGTAAGAGAACAAGGGGCTTGTTTCAGGGGACACCTGATTGAAAGGTATTGCAGAAAGGTAAAGCAGAGAAGAATAACTTGTTTTCAAAAACACAATAAAATTTCCCAGAACTAAGGCCACATGTTATGTACAGTGAATGCATATCACGTTGTTGTAAAATTTTAGAACACCAGGAATGAAGAGAAGATCTGAAGTTCTTGCAGAATTTTTTTTTTTTTTTGTCTTTTGTCTTTTTCCGTGTCCGGCAACGGATCGCAACCCTCAGTGTTGCCCCCGTACCGGACCGAGGACCGGCAACGGGATCGCAACCCCCGGCGCTGCTCCCGCGCCTCGCTCAGCCAGTGAGTGGGAATCGGTCCGTATGTGGGATCCGAACCCTCGGGCGGGAGCGCCACCGCGCTTCCCAAGCGGCGCACTATCCAGTGCGCCACCGGGCCGGCCTTGCAGAATTTTTAAAAACAAAACAAAACAAGGCCGGCCTGTGGCTCACTTGGTAGAGTGCGGTGCTGATAACACCAAGGCCACGGGTTCGGATCCCATATAGGGATGGCTGGTTTGCTCACTGGTTGAGCGTGGTGCTGACAACACCAAGCCAAGGATTGAGATCCCCTTATCGGTCATCTTTTACAAACAAAAACAAAAACAAAACAAAACAAAACAAAACAGACCACCTGTGAAGAATGGGGATAAGCTTCTCAAAAGTGACCCTGGAAGCTGGAATACAAGGCCCTCAATATCCCGAGAGAAGACGCTCTCCCGCCTGCGATTCCAGGCCTCACCCAAGGACCAAGTGCAGCATGTAGAATAAAGACATTTCCAGACACTGCTGCCTGTACACTCTTACTCAGGAAGTTAATGAAGGCCACGCTCTGCCAAACTGAGGCAATAAAACAAGAAAAAGATAAAGATAAAAAGCCCCATGAAGGAGAGGAGCAAAGGGAGGCCTCAAGCCAGGCTGGAGTGGGAGACAGGAGGAGGAAGGAAATTAAATGGATTATCTGAAGCGCTCAACAGGATGAAAGTAGTATTGATGGGGGTTTTAACTGATGGGTTAGAGCTCTGAAGAAAAAACAGTCTAGAAATTAAGCAAATAAAAAAGGCAACTTTTTTTTTCAAGAAATATTATGTGAAGTGGTTAAAAAAAGGAAATACCATAATACTTTTCTTGACTCAGTGGTAAACTTTGTTCACATATTCACAATAATTTAAACACTACTGATTTAACTAAAAACTGTAAAAAACTCTTTTGGAATGAAGGGGACAGGAAAAGTTGAGGGTGAGGTGGGTAGAGGGAGTAGAAGATAAATGCTCACCTACCATTACAGGAAGTTGAAAGATAATTTCAGAAACAGATGAATTAAGAAACAGCAGTAAAAATTTACTATCTAAAACTTTGGAGGCAGTACCAGAGAAACAGCTCAAATATTCAAAGTGTTTCACTGTCTCCGGAAGCTGGTCTGGGAGAGAGGCAAGGGTAGGTAGGACTGGATAGCTACTTCTTGTTAAAAGCTATTGGTAGCATTATTTAACCTTTTAAATCATATGCATGAATTGCTTTGATAAAATAAAATTAGTGTTAAAATAAGAGTTCTTGGGGCTGGCTGATTAGCTTAGTTGGTTAGAGTGTGGTGTTAGACCACCACCAAGGTCAAGGGTTTAGATCCCTGCAGTGGCCAGCACCAAAAAATAAAGAAAAAGAAAGAAAGAAAAGAAAAAAGAGCTTTTAAGAAATCAGGCACTGGCAGGAGCACGGAGACCTCACAAGCTAAGGGCAGCCCCAGCTGACAGACGGCAAGCGTGTTGGGTGCCATTGAGTGGATGGCCCACTGCTACTATAGACATTGCCACCATGCAGGGGAGTCTGTCACAGCCACCACCACTGCAGGGGCAGAGTTCTGCCACTCCTGCCACAAAGGCAGCTCACTGCCACAGCAGCAGCCACTGTCACCATCCAGGCAGCTAACTGACCACTTGACTGCATTGACACAAAGAGGGTTACCAGTATAGCTCAGGGAAAGAGCTGAGTGATTGCAGATCTGTGTGACCAGTGGCCCATCCCAGAGGAGGAATTACACTGACACTCCATGGTAGCACACCCGGGGATGGGAGGTACATGCACAGCCCACATGACTGCCTTGATCCACGCAGAGACATGCACGAACACCCAGAGTGTGTAGAAACCCAGGATACCCCAAAAGAGTAAGAGACAAAGATCCCAATCACCACCAACCCATCCCCCAGCTGGGGAAGCAAAGACCCAGGAGGAGCCTCTTCCTGTAAGAAAGAGGAAAGAGAAACCCTGGTCAGGGTCACCCATTCAAACTAAGGAGCTCTAGTATACCCTAGTGCACCCATCAGGGTCAGGGGACACTAGCTGGGTGCCAACAAGCCTGCCCAGGGTCACCTGCCCCAACCAAAGAGTGACAGGGCACCCAGGTGCTTCTCCCAAGAATTTGAGAGCTCACCCATGTACTTGACAACCTAACACAGTGTCACTAACCTCGACAAGGAATCACTAAGTGCCCTAGTACTTAAGCCATTGAGGCACTCACATGCAATTCTAACGCTGAATATAGCTGAAGTACCCACACAGAGACTACACTACTGCATCTACCCAGAACCAATATTAAAACACCCTACTCAACCGTCAATATGAAACACACCTAGGAGGAAGTCTCTCTCCTCAAAGCCCACTCTGGAGTAAAAAAAGAAGCACCTGCTCTACAAGATGACCAGACATCAATGCAGAGATGCTAGAAATACAAAAAAAAAAAAAAAAAAAAAAAAACCAAGAAAATATGACACCACCAAAGGAATACAAAAATTCTCAAGTACCAGACCCCACAGAGCAGGAAACCCTTGAAATGACTGAAAAAGAATTCCAAGCAACAATCTTAAGGAAACTCAATGAGACACAAGAAGACTCAGTTAGACAACACAATGAACTCAGAACAAGTATCCAGAATATGAAGGAGGA